TGTAGTCAATGTCATGAAACAAAGTGTGTGTGAACTGCTGTACAGAAAGTGAATTTGCTCTGTAAACTTTCACCCAAATCACAATTAAAAAAGAAAAAAATATATCAAATCAATTCTACTGATACACTAAAAGGTTATATATCACAACTAATATAAGGATTTAAGTGAATGAGTTGTTAAGGCGTTTGGCTGCTAACCACCAGCTACTCTGTGGAAGAAAGATGAGGTAGTCTGCTGCCATAAGGATTACAGCCTTCAAAACCCAAATGTGGGTTGCTATGAGTCTGCACTGACTCATTGGAAGTGAGTTTTGGTTTAAGTAAGATTTATTCTAGGATGAATCAGCAGTTTAACATTTCAGAAAGCTATCAATTTAACTATATGAGAAACTCAGTAGATCAGTATGTTCAGAATAAACATTTAGCAAAGTTCAAGTCATACTCATGGGAAAAAACTGAGCAAACTAGGATTAGAAAGAAACTTCCTTAATCTGACAAAAATTATTCACCAAACTCTTACAGCAAATGTAATACTCAATGATGAAACCCTGAGAATTTTCTTTCTGAGATCAGTAATGAGAAACTTCTGATGCACTCTACCTATTCTATTAATTGCATACCAATTCTACATATTGTACCAAAGATCTTAACCAGAACAGTAAGACAAGAAAAAGAAATAAAATGATTGGAAAGGAAAAACTACCATTATATGACCTGTATGCAGAAAAATTTTTAAACATACATACCTTTAGAATTAATACGTGAATTTATCAAGATTGCTGGATACAAGGTCAGTATACCAGCAACAACTGCTGTCCAAAAAGACCAGGAGCTCTGGTGGTGTAGTGCCTAAGGCATTTGACTGCTAACCTGAAGGCTGGTGGTTCAAACCCACAAGCTACTCCTCAGAAGGAAGATTGGGCAATCCACTTCTGTAGAGATACTGCCTCAGAAACCCAAGGAGGGTCCCTATGAGTCAGGAACAACTCGACGACAGTGAGTTTGATTTTTGGTTTACTATAAAAGACTGGAGTTAAAAATTATTCTGCATTCTGAATGATGCACAAGTGTCTGAGCTTTCCTGCCAATTTAAAGAAATCTAAACTCTTGATTATATATACAATTCATTATGGATGTAGTTTAGGTAGGATGTAGTTTAGGTGTACTCAATTAATTGGTGAATAAATGTAAACTATAATGTTTTAAGTT